TAAGGGAGAGAAAAAGGAAAAGAAGGAGCAGAAAGAAAATGGATAGGGCCTGTCTTACTTGAGCTCGTGGCCTTGCTGCATCCACAGATCCTTTTTAGAGACTTACAGCTACAGCACACCTCATCCTGGGATTAGCGTCCCCCATAAGCAGCATCAGCACTGGCCAGGAGGTCAGATTTCAGCCACAATATCCTCCTTTACCACACCGCTGAAACAATCTCCCTCTAGATGAGATTTACTCCATCTCTCTCGTGTCTGCTTCCATTTTCTCTCACTCTTGGCTTGTTTCTCTCTCTCGCTCACTAAAACCAGTACCGTCAGGTTTGTTTTCTCACTCGAGGCCCTGCTGCCAATATTAGGTTTCAGAAAACGCTCTGTTTTGAAGAGCAGCGGAGAACTGGATGAAATGGGAATTTTAATAAAACAGTATAATAAAAGGGCAGAGGAGGCCCCAAACCCTCAAAGTCTTTAGATCCGAGGATTTTCAGCTCGCTTGTCTATTTATTTTATTTATTTATTTTTTAATATGAACTGGTTCAACTTGCTCATATTGTTATTCAGGACTGCTCTTAATATAAATGTATATCAATTGATGCTGTCACACACAGGGTACTGTTAATTAACTGAAGATGTAATGCCTCAAAGGGTAATTCCAGGTTGTTAAAACTTGGCTTGTATTTTTATAGCATTGGCTGTATTTTCTGTAACCTATGATGATCTTGTATTGTATCAAAGTTATTGCTGATATCCGGGAAGATTGCAAGTCTATAATAACATCCGAAAGGTGCCAGACACATGAGCAGTCAGGTTAATAGAAAGGCTTTAAATCAGACAGTCTAATCCTCCAAACAAGTCTCGCACATTAAAAAACAAAACACACTGTAATTGCTCAGCAGAATAACACTTATAAGCCCATTCTTATTTCAGAACCTCATTTTTCTCTTGTATAAGGTTAGAGAATAATGATAGCTGTTGTTGAACTATAGCTATGACTGGCAGTGGGAGGCAGTAAGCAGTCTCCTGTAATAAATTATCCTTTTTGCACTTCTTATGGGTAAGAGACACATTATTAGTATTTTCACTTCAGCATAAATATATAATATGTACATTTTGTCTGGAACTAATGTTCATCTTGGTTAAGAAGTTCATTTGACTTGAAATATAGTGGTTTCCAAAACTGTGTCGCAGTCAGCACAAAAGGTCAAAGTTGAACTGCAATGGATATGTTGACAATACAGGGCCCTATTTTTTCTTACAGGTAATCTGAAGAAACTGTTATACACGTGGTACAAGGAGCTTAGAAAGGAAAGCGCCTGGACTTCTTTTGTTTTCCTTGAAGACGTTTCTCCTCTCATCCGAGAAGCTTCTTCAGTTCTAAGAGCAACTGCTGGAGAGTCCCAGATTTTAAGTCCTATGGGGTGTCCCCCAAGAGGGCCATGGACCCCCTATTGATCCTCTAACTAGTCACACGAGTGAAGGTGTGAAAACGGGTGTGTGTCACAGTCACCCAGGGTTTTGGGTGAACCCACTGTGAAGTCTAGCCCCACCCTATCATGTGATTTCCTGAGGTCAAAAGGCCCAGGATGTGAGTGGGTGTGTGGGAGTGGTTAAGGCGGCTGAGCAGGGATCTCAAAACTGGATTATAGACGGCAGACAGGTGGGGTAAGCCATCGCCTCTGTTCAAAGATGATCGTTCACCGTGGACACAGATGGCTTCTTTCACTCCTCTTTCAAACCATCAGTCTTCTTTGTCCAAAATGTGAACACTGGCATCCTCGATATCGATAATAGAAGGCCCATGAGCCTCTTGGGGACACTCCCGTAGGGCTTAAAA